AATAGTTTGAAAGGCGGCAAACTAAAAAGTGTGGCATGGAGGCTTGATGTAGAAGTGTGAGACCAGTTTCTACGATATGTTGATGTTTATGTTCAGCAGAACCAACTAGTTGAGGAGTGTGTGGGGGTGACTTAAGGTGTTGGATGCCACAAGTTGAGAGGTAGGATGTGAGGGCTTGAAATTCACCTCCACCATCAGAGTAGACTGTTTTAATTGTAGACTGAAAGAAGTTTTCAACTAGGTTTTTAAAGTTGGTGAAGACTTTTGAAACTTCTGATTTATGACGAAGAGGATATAGCCATGTGTATTTAGTAAAATAGTCGACAAAAATAACATAAAAGCTAAACTTGTCAAAAGAAGTGACAGGAGCAGGGCCCCAAACATCAGTATAAATAATTTCAAATGGTTTAGAACATGATATAGAGGAAACACTGAAAGGAAGTCTATGACTTTTATTATGAAGACAAGCATCACAATAAGTAACAACCCGATTATTTGTAAGAGTAGGAAGAGAATAACGAGAAAGTAATTTATTTTGGATAGGGAGAGAGGGATGACCGAGACGACGATGCCACACATCGATTGAAGCTGCAACGGAGGAGTAAGCAGTGGGCTGTTTTATTTGTGGAAGTGACGGCCATTCATAAACATTGTCCTTACTCCGGCCTTGGACCAATGATGCCCCCGTGCTCAAATCCTTAACAAGAAAAGAGTTATGAAAGAATTCAATGGAGGTATTATTTTGTTTGCAAAATTGAGAAACGGAAATGAGATTTCGTTTGATGTAAGGTGCACATAAAACATCATCGAGTGTAAAGGTTGTGGTAGGTGAATTAAGCAGTATAGAACCCGTATGAGTAATAGGAATTCCTTTACCGTCACCGATGATGATGTCCTCAGTGCCACTATAGTTGTTGTGGATGGACAAGTTCTGGAGATCTGATGTGATGTGGTGGGATGCGCCAGAGTCCATAATCCAATTATGATCACTAGTCGTTGGAGTAGTCGTGAGATTTGCTTGAGGCCAATGTGATTGAGCAGGAAGTCTGGGTCGAGATCGACAGACCTTTGCAGAGTGACTGACTTTATCACATAGTTGGCAAACAATTCTTTGTTGGTTTGAGTAGTGAGGGCGCCAGGACTGCGGATGATTGAAGGAGCCACCTTGGTTGTTGTGATTGGAATGTTGAGGATGAGGAGGAGGAATGGTTGGTTTAGAGCTCATAGGTTCAGAAGGTGTCTTGATCAAACCTTTGTTGACAATCTTGTTATACGAATTGCCCCTCCTTTTTTGAGTGACTTGAGCTGTGATGGATGGTCCTGGCGGTTTGTCTTCGCGCTTGAGATATATCTCAAAGTCAATCAGCTTGTCGTAAAGTTCTTCGAATATGATTGGTGAATCACGCGCCCGTATTGCTGCTGCCAATTCCTTGTACTCGTCTCCGAGGCCATTGAGGATATGAACAGTAACTTCTTCATTGCTGAGGGAATGACCTACCAAGGCCAAGTTATCGATGATAACCTTTATGTTATGTAGATAATCAGCAATATTACTTCCCTCTTGTTTTATCTTTATGAGGCTGGATAGGAGACTAAGCATACGAGTGCGAGAACGATTGGCCAAGGTGGTTTGCAACTTGCACCAAGCTTCGGCAGCAGTGTCACATGAAGAAATGAGTGGGGCAAGAGATCCAGCGACCGAGGCTTGAATTGCTTGAAGGATGAGGCGATCCTGGCGTAACCATAGTTTGTGATCCGGATTTGGTACTGGATCGGATGCGCCTGGGATGTTGAGCATCGCCGGTGGACAACAAAGAGAGCCATTGACATAGCCTAGAAGATCATAGCCAAATAGTAGATTAGAGAATTGAGCACGCCATGATGCGTAGTTACCACCGTTGGATAATTTGAAGGGGATGAGGGTTGCCGTAGTCGAGGACAGCGGTGGCGGAGGCGTTGGAGGGAGAAGGCCAGGAGCTGGTCGATGGACCAGCGCGCGGAAGCAGAGCAGATGGAAGCTGTGTGGCTACGCACGCTTCTCAGGCGGCAAGACGGAGGACCATGGTTGCCAAGCACAACTCTCATTCAGCTGTGTGGCTACGCATCGATGGTACCCTGGGGTTCTTTCCCTTTCAGCAAACCAATGTGGGGAGATAGACATCTGGTTGCCGCGGTTGTCGCAGTTCCTTGGTCTTTGCTCTTCGACGTAAGTTGATGCCGCCGAAGAGCAAAGAACAAGGAATCGTGAGAACCGCCGCAAGCAGATGTCTGTTCCTCCATATTGATTTGGAAGGGAAGAATCCCATTGTAACACGTATGTGGAACCACATCAGCTGCTTGAGGGCTGTGGCACGAGAGAAACAAACAAAGAACAAGAGAGAGCAGAGTTCGTCGGTGAAGAGGAAAATAAAACTCTCTCTCTCTCTCTCTCTCTCTCTCTCTCTCTCTCTCTCTCTCTTGCACAAAATTCCCTCTACTCTTCCTCTCTATCTTTCTATTTCTTAATCTGAAGAACAAGTGATGGATGGTGGATGTTAGGACCATCCTTGCTTCCTTGGGCTCTTGCAAATCAAGGTTTTGAATGACTCCATGGTAGCAATGCCATTGTGCTTTTTAGATCGTCATTAATCTATTCGGTCTCTTTCATGCACTGACTCGTTTTTGAGTGGTGTAGTTGAGCTTGGATCGCTCCACATCTTCTTCTTGGGTCCCAATGCATCGGGTTACTCCTCCAATAGGTTGGGAGAAAAGGATCACTCGAACTCTCCCACCAAATTTGGTGATCCAAACTCGAATTTGATGATAAAACTATGTTGAGGCTCATAAGTTGACTTCATATTATGTTTTATGAACAGTCTCATTTA